TTTAAAATGAAAGATTTTATGTGAAGAGAATTGTTATCAATTGACAAAAATCAAACTTATAAATTGTGATTTTTGATATAAGAATCATGATTTACCTATTTCGCTACCATTTTTAAGTTTCGTTTTTGGAACTTCTCATAACAAAATGATCTAGAAGAAATGAGTATTGAACTAGTAATTTGGTCAGCAATGAGCGGCTGCAAATTGGTATTGTTGAAATTTATATTTTATTTGGGCCCTTTCATGAAACAAAGGAAACAAGTCTCCAACAAAAGTACAAAACAGCCGCACTAGGAAACAATATGTGGGCTATGTACATACCATGAAATGAAACAAATAAACGATGAAACCTATCCTTATAAATAAAAAACTTCTCTAGAAGTAAACTGAGAAGTTGCAGAAGTAGCATATTTCCTACAACTCAAATATCCAACAAAAAAGATTACAACAAAATTGATCAGTTTGTCAGGAATAACTTAAAGGCAACAAGCCATGACTGAAAATCTACTCAACAAGAATTACCTTGTTAGCTTTCTGGTAACGGGAGATCGAAAAAGAATGATTAATCAACAGAACGTCGTGTTATATATACACAGACAGGCACTGCACATCTACATTTCTTGATCCGCTCGTAGGAAGCTCTCAAATGGCGTTCCCTCGAGGGTCTTTTCGACATCGCCCCAATTCTCAACCTGTGAAGACAAAGGCCCTTTGTGTATCTTAATCTGTCGACTATGTAACTCTCTATGTGGGACTGTAAGGAAATCTTGAACATCAATGAGTTTCTGTGAAATGAATGGCGAGATAAACAGTCAATAAATCCAGAAATCTAAACTGCAGAAGAAAATTATTAAGTGATGGTAAATAGTTTAGGCATCTTACAGTTCGGTTTTGTATTATGTCCTCGTAGTAAAGGATGATATGCCTAGTACTTTTGAAGGACTCCAAGCCTTTTGTCACCAACTCCTCCGCTTGCCTTAGGCTTGGAATCAGCAATGCTGTGTTTATCACTGGTTTGTATCTAGAAAGTATTTCAGCCTGGAACAGTATTACCATGTTTAGGAGTCGGGAATTGTGTGTGTGTGTGTGAGAGAGAGAGAGAGAGACAGAGAGAATGACCTCTCGAGGAGAATGCACGTGAGATTTGTGAGTTCCATTTAGTGGCTTTGCATTTTGATCATAGGAGTTTGCAAGTATTGAAACCATTCTACGCAAAAGATTTCTTCTGAAGAGAAAAATTGCCGAAACTCCTTTCCTTTTAAAGTATTCAACAATTTCCTCATGATTCTGAAGTAGACCCTGCAATGAAATCAAGAAATGTTTTAAGGCAGTAGAAAGACGCAAGTAGGGGAAAAAAGGTCACTGAGGAGATGCTGGTTTCGAAGGGCATTGCCTATAATCCCTATATCATTCTACACATTTCAAACAAGGAAAAAAGAAAACTTTAAAGTTATTTCATTGAAAATGGAGAATCCTCAGTACTAATAGCCTCACTCCTTCCACAAAAAAGTTCCAACAGCTTACAGAAATCGCCATATGAACAATATAATTGTTCCTTCGTTTATATTGATAGAACCATAATAAGAAGGTGGTATTTCATTAAGCTCCATGCTCCCCGGCTCTTATTCAGGTATCACAAAACTATCTTAACATCGCAAAACTATAGAAAATTTGAACTTTGCAGAGATTTCAATTCAGAACAGAAGCACAGCATGAATCTAGGAAACTTCTTAATACTAAAAGTTTAAAAGGGGAGGGCTGTAAGAGTGTCATTTGATAATCTTGATGTAGGGAGTAGACTATTTAAGGTTATACGGGTTAAATACAAGCATTTAAACCAATAAAGATGAGCTAGTTAAAATACTTCGGGGAGGCCTTACGCCCTTACCTGATTAAGCATCCATTTCAGCCCAACTGCAGCTGTACACTCATTCTTGGAAGCACTAGTAAACCAGTCTAGATTATAGATGTTGTCCAAAGTGTCCACAATAGTTGATATGTTACTCCTCCGAACTTTGACAGAAAAAATCTCCCCATTGGAGCTGATATTCGTGTGATTGTTTAACAATGTCTCGAACCATCCACTACCAGACCTCTGTGTCGACAAAATTGCAAAATACCGTACTGGATTGCAAGCACACTCGGCACTACACATGTCAAAAAACATCAGCAACGTTAGCATCGAATAGCAATCTACAACGTTGGAACAATCAACAACTTACCGGCTAAAAGTCTTTGGCTTGGGGAAGTGCAGGTAAGGTCGCTCTGATGGTTCGATATGAGGCGGTTCACATACATTCTCCGCAACAATAGGAGGAATCTTTATTACTTGTATATTGGTGTGGCTACCAATTTGCTTAAGACAGATTGAGCATATATAGACTCCACATAGCATTGCAACAAATAAGACCACCATTCTCAATAACAGTGGAGATTTCTTTGAAGGCTTTATGATCAATACATCCTGAAATGGACATAATAATAATATTATAAAGCAGAACTTAGGCACATCAAATCAAGATAGAGTTTTCCACAACCAAAGACCCCAAAATCCCCAAATGCATCTTGATTAAGCTCATTGAGAACACCATAAACTGAAACATCGAAAAAGACCTAACATTTAGCTAAATATATTTGAAGCTTAACTTTTATAGCGATGCCAAGATCGAATACACCGAAAGAAGAGTAAAAGATAAAACTTTTGAAGCAAAATATCAATATATATTTAGCTAAAAATTCCGGTGAGAAAGAGGATTAGAAGCACGCACCTTCGAGAAGAAACAAAGATCTTCAGCCATTGGAAGTGTTCTCTTAAAAAGGAAGGCAAGCAAAAGACATTTGGGAGCTCAGATTCTCAAGTGTTCTTTGCCCTTTTCTTTCTAGCTTTATTCATTTGCCCGTTCTGCACACATGCATACAGACACACAGAGCCAGTTGTATGTATATGAGGAGAGAGAAGTAGATGATGCTTTAGCGAAGAGGACGAAAAACAAAATGATGATGAGACCTATTCCTGCATTCGAACGTTATCACGCTTTCCTCTTTCCCTGTTCCTATGGAGACCTTCTCGAACAGCTTCTTAGACGATTGTGGATAAGAGCTGGATTGGGGACAACATCAACTATTCTCACTTGGATTATTACTATTGATTCCTTCTGTTCATTTCAACCTTGAATCTGGGCATCAACAAAAGTATATCTACAAGAATGTGAAGGAGGATTTGGAACTGGAGAGCTGCAAAGGCATAGAACAGGAGACAGTGGGACTCCAGGTTGGTCGGATTCGGATCCAGAAAAGAAATACGGAACGACATCGTTATCGACAGCAATGATTTCTGCCATTAGGGTCAATCATTAACAAGTGGAGTATTTAATAATTTTATAGGTAACATACGGAACTTCAATAAGTATTGGGCCTCACGTTGCGCTGACAATTAATTTTGTCGAGGGGATCGTGCTTGGCAAATTATGATGTGGACTTGGTCTAAAACGATATCGTTTTGCTTCAAAATGAGGCTGTTTGAATTTTTTATTAAAAAAATTGTTTCATTTTTTGCCATTAATTTGTTGTTTGCCTTCAGAATTCGTTCATCAATATTCATAATTTTTAAACTCTATATTTACAATTTTAAAACTTTATATTCACAATTTTAGAACTGAATATTCATAATTTTAGATCTCAATATACAAAATTACAGAACTCAATATTCACAATTGCAGAACTCTATATACACAATTTTTGAAGTCTATATTTACAATTACATAAGTCTATATTCACAATTAAAGAACTCTATATTCACAATTACATAACTGAATATTCACTCGCTGAGTTGTTTTCATTAATTATATATATTAAAAAACATTTGCTAAGGAAATGGTGCCACTAACAGCACCGTTATTTTCACACGCGCAAACTGCGTCGTTTTGGACATGGATCCACCTTGCAAGGTGGACTGAGTCTATGGCATAACAATTGATCATGCTTGGCCTATGCTTTCATTCCTGGACAGTTATGCCATGGCCTAGGGTCCACATTACGGAGCGTTATGTTGTGCAACCGTGTGAAAAAAAAATTCAGAATTGCATAACTCTATATTCACAATTAAAGAACTTTATATTCACAATTACAAAACCCTAACATAATACACATAATCTAACATAATACATAATACACATAAACTTTTAATATAATACACAAACTCTTAACAAAAAACAAATAACGGAATTGGATGGACAGAACGGTATTTGTCGCGTCACCTCCCCCGACTTATAAAACAACATTGTTTTATGTCAGAACGCACAATGCATTGTGGGTCTTGGTGCACGATATAATTTGTCGCACCTAACAACTTGGGCTCTTTGTTAGTGGGTCGGCCTTGATTGTACATTTTGGATTATATTTACTCATTTTATTATGACCCAATTAATCACTTGAGGATTGATCATTGATTTCGCACTTGGCCAGTTTACTGATAAATTATAATGTGAATAATGGTCTACATTGCAATGTTGCAATGTGAATTATGAATAAATGTTATATATATATATATATATATATATATATATATATATAATATGAATGTATATTATTTGTGTATTGATTGATCATAATTTAATTAACTTTCATTATTTAAATAATATATATTTAAAAAATAAATATTTAGTATATTAAAAATATAACTTATGTCAATGATTCACTCTATAAAATGGACTATGGTATAATGATTCCAGCTTACTAAAGCAGATGCCTCAAAATAGGTCTTAAAGTATCTCAAGATATATTTTAATCGATTAATTAATTCACATCAAAACAATCAAATTTACTTTGTAGGAGTTCGTTACGTCTTAGGCTAGAATTCATTTTAGTATATTATAAATTTATTTTAACTGCGGTACACTAATAATTTTGCATGATTGTACTCGCGGAGTAAGCGCAATTTGTCAAAAACGATGGAATAATAAATTTCATTAATTGCCCTATCAGACCCGGGTCCCACGAGATGGTAAAATTCAGGCAATTTATCAAAGTCGACAGCGGTTCAACCGCCCAAAATCAATTATAAATCCAACTACTACGTATTCTTTAATCGACCTTAAACTCAGCCATATCTTCATTCTTCAGTCAACCCACAGCCTAAAAATCTTATCATGGCTTCTCCTCCGGCCTCAACTAAAGTAGTTCACGATTTCTTCCCCATTCTTCGCGTCTACGAGGACGGCCGCGTCGAGAGGTTTCACAACTATGTTTCTGTCCCTCCGACCGACAACCCAGAAACCGGCGTTCAATCCAAAGACGTCGTGATTGTACCAGAAAACAACGTCTGGGCCCGCCTGTACCTTCCCAAGGTCACCGACGGCGCCCAGAAATTCCCCGTTCTAGTCTACATCCACGGCGGCGCCTTCGCCATTGAGTCCGCCTCCTCCGCCACCTACGACAGGTATCTCCACTCCGTGACGGCCAAAGCCAACGTCGTAACCGTTTCAGTCGAGTACAGGCTGGCGCCGGAGCACAAACTCCCGGCGTGTTACGACGATTCCTGGGCGGTTATGCAGTGGGTCGCGTCGCATGGTAAGGACGGCGGACAAGGATCCGACCCGTGGCTGAAAAATCACGCCGATCTCTCCCGGGTTTTCTTGGCCGGCGATAGCGCCGGAGCCAACATCGCACACTACATGATGGTGAAGGCAGGCGAGGAAACATCTCAAGATTGTCTAAAACCCGTGGGGATGATTTTGGCCCACCCGTATTTCGGAATCAGCGGCGAACCCGATAAGCTCTGGGATTTTGTTTATCCTGACTGCCCGGCCTCCGGTGACCCGAAGGGGAACCCAGCGGCCATTCCGGGTCTTCTCTCGCAGCTTGGCTGCTCGAAAATTCTGGTGTGTATTGCGGAGAAGGATTTCATCAGAAAAAGAGGATTGAAGTATTATGAGGCACTGAAGAACAGTGGGTGGGGCGGCCAACTGGAGCTCGTGGATACCGATGGCGAAGAACACGTTTTTCATTTGCTGAATCCGACATGCGAGCAGGCGGATTTATTGATGAACCGTGTCGTGTCTTTCCTGAGCAGCACCTAAATTAATTTTCATCCTCCTGTATTCAAGTTGTTATTTCCTTATTTTCAAAAAAAAAAAAAAAAAAAAGTTGTTATTTCCTTTTATCAAAAAAAAAAAAAAAATAGTTGTTATTTCCTAAAGTTATTATCAGTGATAAATAAGATAATATTTTATATGAATGATTATATATCAAATTTGGTGATTTTTATTAAACAATTATTTAATTATAATTATTGATTGCACGACTTAGTATTGTTAAAACGGGCTGACCAATCCTACTGTATGCTTAATTTTTGACGAGTTTTTGCGAATTAGCTCGCGGTTCAAGTAATCTTTACCCACCCAACACGAGTTTGCGAGCTAGGCTGGTTAACTCGAATGGTAACATTGTAATTTTGAAAAAAATATTCATTTTGTCATAATACCCGATACAAACCATACATACTATGCTTCAAATATTTTAAAAAGTATTTGGAGATTTTTTTTTTAAATGATGATGTATATATTAAACATCTATACCTATCACTCCAAAACTCAACCTTTATCCATTTTATTGCTATTTTGGATCATTTGGTCATGTTGGATGCTTCTAACTCAATCTTTTTGTATTTTTGACCTTGATCAATTACCAAAATATGTATTAGTGTGACCAAACACATCCAAATTAAGTCGCAATTTACATGCTTCCCATCAAATCACAAATGACATATATATCTACTTGGTAATTACTAACCTATTAATTTTTTTTTTTTCATTGGATGTATACTGTCTAGAAATTCTCAAAAATGAATGATTCAACATGTGCTATGTTTATGCTTCTGCAGCCAACAATGTTGACAAAGTAGTCAAGGACCGATCAAACTTTATGGACGACGGAATGAATTGATACAAAGTTTTATTATGAAAATACTTCTAGACCTCTAATCTCAGTTTTAATTTGTATTCATATATTCAAATTCTTTTTGTCATTTACTAGTTAGACTTTCTCATGCACATTTTGATAGATAGAGTGTCTTGTGCATATTTCAAGTAATAATTGTAATTTATCTTGACACCTAAACAAAATTGAGAAAATATAAATTATAGTTAATTTTATTTTTGGTTTTAAATTTATAGGTGACTGATCACTTTTAATCCTTTTATTTATCAGAATGTCTTCATTTGGTCATCGTATTATTGTGGTATGATCATTTTTGGTCTTCCGCCAACAAAGTCATTGAAATGTTGTTAAATGCAAGAACATTTTGATTTTTTTTTTATAAAGTAGGCATGGTTGAAAAATCATTAGGCGTTTCTCGGGTGCTCAGGGGCGCCTAGGCGCATGTGTATTATTTATTTTATTTTTTATTTTTAAAAAATTTGTTTAAAATTTTTAAATTTTTAAAACTTGATAATTATAAATTATTTAATATTTTAATAGTAAATACTAAAATAATAAATATTAACCTACAAAACATCTAGAGTTTGAATAATTTAGAGTTATTTTGCTCAAAACGATGTCATTTTAAATGAAATAATCATTTAAAAAAAGAAAAGAACTATAGCTAATCGGAACACTAAGCGGTACGGTCTAGTCAGCCCTTGGGAGGCCTAGGCGGTCAGCGCCTAGACGGCCTAGTCGGTCGCCTAGACCACCGATTATTGTGATACGTTAGACGGCCTGCCAACGCCTAGCGCCTAGGCGTCGATTAATCGGTGCCTATGTGAGATTTTTGCAACATTGAAAGTAGGTTGACCCTCTACATTACTTATGTTTATTTTTTTTGAAAAATCTATGATTGAAAAATTAAATGTAATTGTATTTAAAGAAATTATATTTTGTTGATATATGACAAAAAATGTGGTCATGTCATTGTAATACTAAGACCAAAAGTGAATATTTTGTAAAAAAAAAAAAAAAAAAAAAAAAAAAAAAACTAAAAATGAATTACCACATATAAACCTATGACAAAAAATGAAATTAATTATATAAATTATTAGCAAATTATCAAATTATAAATAAACAAACGGCTGCTGTTGACTGAAACATAAAAACAATACGGCTGCTGTTGACTGAAACATAAGAATATCTGTTTGCTCTGTTTTTAGTCAAAAAAAAAAAAAAAAAAAGATTATGCATAATGTCCACTTATGTGATCTAAGCAATGAAATCACAGTTTCATCATTCCAATCTTCACCCATAAATCCCACTACTACGTACTCTCCCATCAAGCTTAAACACAGCCTGCCATCTTCCTTCAATCAGCCCTCAGCCTAAAAATCTATCATGGCTTCACCTCCAGCCTCAACTAAAGTAGTTCACGATTTCTACCCCAGATTTCGCGTCTACGAGGATGGCCACATCGAGAGGTTTCACAAATATGTTCCTGTCCCTCCGACCGACAACCCAGAAACCGGCGTTCAATCCAAAGACGTCGTCATTGTACCAGAAAACAACGTCTGGGTCCGAATGTACCTTCCCAAGGTCACCGGCGGCGCCCAGAAATTCCCCGTTCTAGTCTACTTCCACGGCGGCGCCTTCACCCTCGAGTCCGCCTCCTCCGCTTCTTACGACACGTTTCTCCACTCCGTGACGGCCAAAGCCAACGTCGTAACTGTTTCAGTCGATTACAGGCTGGCACCGGAGTACAAACTCCCGGCGTGTTACGACGATTCCTGGGCGGTTATGCAGTGGGTCGCGTCGCACGGTAATGACGGCGGACAAGGATCCGACCCGTGGCTGAAAACTCACGCCGATCTCTCCCGGGTTTTCTTGGCCGGCGATAGCGCCGGAGGCAACATTGCACACTACATGATGGTGAAGACAGGCGAGGACAGTTCTCGAGATTGTCTAAAACCCGTGGGGATGATTTTGACCCACCCGTATTTCGTAGGCAGCACCGATGTCGATAGGATCTGGGATTTTGTTTATCCTGACCGCCCGGCCTCCGGTGACCCGAAGGGGAATCCGGCTGCCATTCCGGGTCTTCTCTCGCACCTTGGCTGCTCGAAAATTATGGTGTGTATTGCGGAGAAGGATTTCATCAGAGACAGAGGATTGATGTATTATGAGGCACTGAAGAACAGTGACTGGGGTGGCCAACTGGAGCTCGTGGATTCCGATGGCGAAGAACACGTTTTTCATTTGTGGAATCCGACATGCGAGCAGGCGGGTTTATTGATAAACCGTATCGTGTCTTTCCTGAGCAGCACCTAAAGTTTCATCCTCCTGTCTTCAAGTTGTTATTTCCTACTTCTTGTTGTTTGATGTGTGTTTGTAAACTCAAAAAATGATTACTCTAAATCATTTTTTGAATTTGTACGTACGTGTTTGAGTATTTAATGAAAATAAAGTTAAAAGAAAATATATATTTTGGTCAATGAAAAAATAGATGTTTAACTAAAAAAAAATATTTTTTAAAATTTTTAGTAAGAAGATATTTTCAAAAAATTAATGGAACAGAAAAAATATAATTTATTAATGTTAGGAAAATATTAAATTTTTAGTTAGAAAAATGTTCAATAATGTACCACAACAAATCAACTACTATAATGCACCATCCAATGTCTAAAAACACAACTCAACTACTATAGACGCACCACCACGTATCAAAATATGCACTACATAGTGTTCAATAATGCACCATAACCAATCAACTACTAGAATGCACAACACAACGTATGTCTAAAACACAACTCAGCTAGTATAAATACACTGCCATATATCAAAATATGCACCACAAAGTGTTTAATAATGCACCACAGCCAATCAACTACAAGAATGCATCACCCAATGTCTAAAAGCACAATTCAGATAGTATAAACACACCACTATGTATAAAAATATGCACCACAATGTGTTCAATAATGCAACACAAACTACATGTTTCTCTAATGTTTTTGCACCATGTATCAAAAGAATGCACAAAAAATGTTTTTATTTTTTATTTTTATTTTATTTTATTTTTATTTTTATTTTTATTTTTATTTTTTTTGTTGGCTGGGTGTACGTGGTTGTAAGTGTTTGAATTCATACCTTTATTATTTTTATTTTTATTTTTTTTTATTTTTATTTTTATTTTTTTTGTTGGCTGGGTGTACGTGGTTGTAAGTGTTTGAATTCATACCTTTATTATGTGATCTAAGCAATGACATCTCACAGTTTTATAGCGATCTTTTGCTGAAAATGGCCGCCACTTCACTACGTTTTTATCACGTTACAGTTTATTAGTCAATTGGTTCCACCATAAAGGAATAAATGCACTATGGTCATTAGAGTTGGTGGGAGACCTTTACCCATTAGAATAGATAAAGAATCTTGTATGGGTGAAAATTTGGAAATTGGCAGGACCATTTGTTATTTATCTTTCATTTTTTAATGGCTCTTAAACATGATATTTAAAGTAAAGTTGGATACTTAATATTAAAAAAAAAAAAAAAGCACTTTGGTCATTAAAATCTACGTCGCTCTCTATATATCGCATGCAACTACAAAAGCCAAGCTTTACGTGGCACGAGCTAGAAGCCCAAGCTGTTTACGTGGCGTACAATACAAGCGGCGTTGTATCAATAATTGGCTTCAACACCGCAAACAAATCAGAGTAACAATGGCTGCACTCGCAAATGCAAACTCCGTCGATGTGCTCTATGATTTTTCAATAATGAGAGTTTACACCGACGGAAAAGTTGAGAGGTTGGCCGGAAAAGATGTCGTCCCGGCTGGGTTAGACGCCGAAACCGGAGTTCAGAGCAAAGACGTGGTTATCTCGCCGGAGCTGAACATTTCTGCGAGGCTCTATCTCCCCAAAACTGCCGGTACAGATGGACGGAAAAAGCTGCCGCTTCTCGTCTACTTTCACGGTGGCGGGTTCGTGATTGAGTCGGCCTTCTCTCCAACCTACCAAAAGCATCTCAACTTGGTCGCCGCCGAAGCCAACTTCGTCATCGTTTCCGTTAACTATCGCCTAGCCCCGGAGCATCCGCTCCCCGCGGCGTATGATGATTCTTGGTTAGCTCTCAAGTGGGTGGCGTCTCATTCCCGCGGCGGAGGTCAGGAGCCGTGGCTAAATGACTACGCCGACTTTTCCCGGGCGTTCTTCGGCGGCGACAGCGCCGGCGGCAACATAGCACACAACATGGCCATGCGGGTCGGGTTAGAGAATCCCGACGGTATCAATCTTGAAGGGATTTATCTAAACTGTCCATTTTTCTGGGGAAAGGACCCGATTGGTAACGAAGGTGACAATGTGTACGTAAGCTCTCTTCTTGAGAATCTATGGAAGTTCGTGAACCCGGGCACGACGGGGCTCGATGACCCGTTAATTAACCCTGCAGCGGACCCGGACCTTGCTAGGGTCGGGTGCAAGAGGGTGCTGGTTTACGTTGGCGAGAAGGATCCGTTAAGGAATAGAGGTTGGCATTACAAAGAGGTGCTGCGGAAGAAGGGGTGGGATGGGTATATTGAGGTGGTGGAAGCTAAAGGGGAAGATCATGTTTTCAATTTGATTAATCCTTCAAGTCATAATGCCATGGCCATGGTGAAGAAGTTGGCCTCTTTCATCAACAATGTATAATCACATCGTTAGTTTCCTGAGTCTTAAAAGCGATGCATGACACGTGTTACGACCGTTTTGAACGATGCATATATGTTTGCCATGTAAGTATGTAACGATAGATTTGTCAATGTGATGACACGTGTTAAAATCGGAGTGATGACATATGCTACGACAGGTTTGAATTATGCATTATTATGTTATGTGCCTACGGTTCTACGTTTATGTTTGATATAAACCTAACTGAAAAGCAGATAACAATTGAACTGTTAAATTAGTTAATTATGCTTTAAAAGTACTTGGTAAAATTATTTTTTGCTCATGATCTCTCATAGCACATAAGAGAGGTCATTACATGTCATTTAAGTACAATGTACTTAGCTAGCTTATTAGTAGCTTAAAATAATCTATAAATTCTTAAATAAGTTATGTCAAAAAGAGCCTACAATTACTATGTTATTTGACTTTGATTTGTTTAATTACTTTATGTAGTTACAGAATATAGTAACTGTATGTAAAAAATTGAATATTATTTTTGATCCAAAATTTGCAAAATAGACACCGATTTATAATATAATTTGGCCCCTGCGTTGAGATATGATTTCTAAAATCTTTGTATATTTCTCGAACTTATCAGAATCTTCGGGTTCAATTACAAATTTGGACCTATAAATACAACCTTTGATTTCATTAGCTCTCTATTACATCGCTATCATTTCTTAAGAGTGGTGTTGAATCATGTGTCTCATATTTAACGTGACTCAAATATCTGGATCAACCTCTTTTGGTATCCATTTACATTTTAAAAGTCACAAAACCTTTAAAATTCTCTCATAGAAATATGGAAAATATTCAGCTGGACCTATACATGCTCTGATTTCAGTTTTCATAAAAGTCAATTGTTAGGCCCATTATTCGCTTCTGAACTCTAAATGCCCGAAAATTAAAGCCCAATGGACCGGACACGGGGCGCAGAGCCGCAGACTTTGATAGGATATGACGCTGTGCTACTAAAAATCTATATTGACGACAAAACCAATTTCTTTCTTCCAAGTTAAAAAATCATATATGGTATTGACAAGCAATTTAAGGGGTTTGGATACGCTTTCCCGTTTTTAACGAAAATTTTGGTCGTGATGTTATAGTGTTCGACGGCTAGACACGTGGATAGATCTATAAAATTGTAATTTAATTTAATTTCTGAAAAATATTATGGTCTTGATTTAAGTATCATATAATTAGTCAAAGGTCTTGTGGTCGAGCGATTTTGGTTTTGAAAATGAGAGGTCTTTATAGTTGTGGCTCTCTTTGCGCTTCAGTAGGTTGAGAAAGTATCTATGATCGAGCGATATAACTATGATTTTGAAAAAGAGAGGTCTCCATAGTTGTGGCCCTTTTTTGCGCTTTAGTCGGTTGAGAAAATATCTATGAACAAATATTACATTGTAATAGATCTTTGTGCTTCAGTAGGCTGATAAATTATGTAATAGAGTTAGTAACATATTTAATTAATGAACAAATGACAATTTTGAATGACTTGGTAGTCATAAAATATTTGGTAATCACCGGTAACCATAATATTATGAGTTCAACTCTTAACAGGAGTAATCTATTAACCTCATTAGTTTAAGTCGATCAGTTAACCTCATTAGTTTAAGTCGATCAGTTATGAATAACTTATACTGATCTATTTTATTGTGTCATTTAATAATGATGGCAGAATATTAACTGACAAATAATCAAGTAAATCACCTTAAATTATTTATAATTAACAATTAGCTAGTTTAAATCAATAAAGCTAACTTTAAATTAGTAACATGTAAAGTTAAATTTTGTAGCTAAATATTTGATTAATTGATGTCATTTTACCTTTTTTTTTTTTTTTTTTTGGTTGTGAAGCTGGCCCGAGTTGTATCAATAAAACATCTACTCTGTAGATGATCTTGCGGCCGAAGTTACCATTAACGACGTTCATATTAAAAGCCCCATTCCCCTCCTTGCCAGTCCAGACCTCATCTATCTCGTTCATTTCCGTCTACTTCTTCTACCATGGAGAAGGCGGTTCTGCTGCGCTCTCTTTCATCTACTACACCACTCGCCTGTTCTAGAATCTTCGCTCGCCCTTACCACGGACTAGCTCGATTTACATCTATCTCCGCCAAGCGCCACCGTCTGCTCCACAACGTCCAGCGCTGTCGCCGCTCCACGCTCTTCGACAACCACCTCCGTCTCACCTCCACCGCCGCTTCCCCTGCTTTTCACGTGAGAAGGCACTTTTCCTCTCTCTCCGTCCGAGCTGTTGCCACTCCCTCCCCGCAGCTCTCTCCAGGTACTCTTATGTTTCTCAATTGAGATTCGATTCATAATCTGTTTAGTTTGGTAGTTTTAGGGGGTTTCATGTGATTTTTAGAAGGTATTGGAGCTGATGATGAAGTCGCCGAGAAGCTGGGGTTCGAGAAAGTGTCTGAGCAGTTCATTGATGAGTGTAAATCCAAAGCTGTTTTATATAAGCACAAGAAGACCGGAGCCGAAATTATGTCGGTTTGCAATGACGATGAGAATAAGGTCTTTGGTATTGTTTTCCGAACTCCTCCGTAAGTACATCCTCCTATCTAATGTACAGTACATTTATAACTTTGGTAGTGGTGCAATTAGTGAACCTTTTTATTTGTTGCTTTCTTTTTGTAATGGCCTCGTTTCTGTATTGAGAGTTCTTTCACCATAGAATTGTCAATAACCAATCTACTACTAGAGAATTTGACATATGCAATACAGAAAAGGTTCAACGTGAAGTTTGGCAAGTCTGTGGGCATGAATGTAGTTTTCAGTGAAAGGAAAAGCATTGAAGCAACCTTGAAGTCGTGGATACTTTTGAATACCAGAAAAACTTTCTGGATTTATCTTCTAGTATTGTCAATTTTGACACCTTGGTGGTGATGCCTATGCAGGAAAGATTCAACTGGAATTCCTCACATATTGGAACACAGTGTATTGTGTGGTTCAAGAAAGTATCCCCTAAAAGAACCTTTTGTTGAACTATTGAAGGGAAGCTTGCACACTTTCCTAAATGCATTCACCTATCCTGATAGGACTTGCTATCCTGTTGCTTCCACAAATACTAAGGTATAACATATTCTTTCAGATAATCTGTAGAAATCGTGTTTCTGTCTAATGCATACTTACTGATCTTTGAACAGGATTTCTATAACTTGGTTGATGTGTACTTAGATGCTGTATTTTTCCCCAAATGTGTGGAGGACTTCCAAACCTTTCAACAAGAGGGTTGGCATTATGAACTGAATGACCCTTCAGAAAACATAACATATAAAGGTTTTTTTTTTTTTTTTTTTTCTCTTCAGTTTATATATGTCCTCTCTCACCTTGCCAACTGCATATTTTTCATAAATAATAAATTATTTATATTTCAATTTCAGGTGTTGTTTTCAATGAGATGAAGGGGGTTTATTCACAGCCTGATAACATAATGGGTAGGACGTCCCAGCAAGTAAGGGTTCCTAACTTTCACACCTTTGAAAAATTGCTTTCTAGTTGAGCCAAGACAATCTGACAATGTGTCAGTATTTCTATTATGCTGGGTGGCTGAATATACAATTGAATGTGATTACTGAAACATAGATAAACTGCTCGGGTGTTTTAAATTAATTTTGTTATATATATATATATATATATATATATATATATATAGTGGTTGCTGACTGAAGAAATCAGGGAATTGTAAAATTGAACAAGGAAATGTGCTATTAAGTTTTTGCACATTGTTGCCTGCAGGCTCTTTTTCCAGATAATACATATGGTGTCGATAGTGGTGGAGATCCACAGGTCATTCCCAAGCTCACTTTTGAGGAATTTAAGGTGTGTAGTGCACATTCTGCTGTTTCCATTTAATGGGCTTTGCATTTTATTATATTTGATAGCCCGTAGCTACATCTGTAGTTTAAAAAATGCAGTTCCTGTGTTTTATTCCTTGCAATTATGCATGTCGATGGCTTGATGATTTAATTGGTACAAAACCAAGACTAGTGAAAATTTAGAAGCCCTTTGTTTTTGTTTTCTTCTGTTTCATTTGACTCCCACATGTTGGTATGTGCTTTTGGTTTGCATTTTGCTTCTTTGTGGAACATAGAGATTGTGTTTTAGAGTGATCCTTAATGCAGAGTAATTGGTTCATTTCTATTATGATCATCCCATATCTGATGCATTAGTATGTTTAGGGAAGGGCACATGGATTCTGTAACTTTTTTACCACATTACCATAGAGTTATATTTTTTGCTGTATCATAGCCTTTACACAGTGCATTTAGTTGATGGTCTATATGTTTTCTGTAATTCTGTCAAAGCTAGAAATTTAATGAATATGTAATTTTCTTCTAACTTGATGTATTCTTCTTCCTAAAAATAATTATACAGGAATTCCACCGCAAATACTACCATCCTAGCAATGCTAGAATATGGTTTTATGGTGATGATGATCCCACTGAACGATTGCGCATCTTAAGTGGTATGATTCCTACCTACCTTATTCTTCTGTCCTTACTTCTGGCCAAAAATTGGAGACTAATGTAAATCAGCAGTGAATATCACAAGGCATTTGGAGTTTCATTTATTTTCTCTGCCCGTATAATAATTCTTGCATTTCATATTGGGTATCTGATGCTACCATTGTTCTTATTTTGGTTGCCAAATTTTTTATTGTTTTACAAGCTCCTTGTAGATGCTATGTTACCCAATGAAAAGATAGGGGTAAATGGAAAACCAGTTCTGTTTAAAATGGTTCTCAAATTTCAAGAGTATGATAGAAGATTAGAAGTCCTAAACTTATTTCACCAGCACCATTTGTGTATGTTATGTCAATTAGCTACTCCCTTTGTCCTAAAAAACGTATCCTCTTTGATTAAAAAGAGGATCTAGGCCATGTTTTTAATGCATTATAATCATAAATTATATTGCATGCATTTTACTTTTACCCTTCATCAATACAGTAATTGCTTTCAGTTGTCATTGATTTCAATCTAAGAAAATGGGATGTGGTTGTAATTTGGAAATAAACCTAGAAAAAACTATGAATTTAATCAATTTATTACCCGGGGGGTGGGGGGTGGGGTGGGACAATTTTCATTTGTCTTGCCAAAATCCCAAGTA